CAAGGCGTAACAGTCGTGTGCACTAAGGAAGGGACAGGTACAATTATTATTATTATTGGCCATGTAAGTAAGAGGTTTTGTTCCGAGTTTTTTTTTTTTTTATAAATTGTTTAAAAACTATACTATGACACAAGAGTTAAACAATCTAAAAGATACTGGAACAAAAACCATTACATTGCCAATATTCACACAGAAATAATGATACGGATTTTGATAAAAACAAAATCCATCAGTAGCTGAAATGTGCATCGCTAAAAGGAGAAACAGAGATATTTATAATGGCTATGCAAAACCAAAACTTATTAACCAAAAATTACCAGACAGATCCCATATATAGATTCTGTGGACACTGAGATGATTGACGATTTAATGATTGGCTATCCAATCAGTTTACCGAAGGAATAGAAAGATCGGCATAAATTTGGGGAGTATATTCATTGGACGATATGTCAGTATTATGTCATATATGAAGAAAATGAGTAACCACTTAGACCTATGTTCGAGCGTGATAGAGTTATAAATATGTTTCCGCCAGGTGTATGAATAGCGGTGTCAGGCTACTGACTGCGCTGATTATTGAGTGACTATTGAGTGGAACTATCCAGTCGAATTAGTGTGAACTAGCAGTAGAGCCCGGCGTTGCCCAGGGATATAACAGTAAGAGATAGATCAAGTATCCACCATCATAAAGACTGAAAAATAAAATTGACAAAGATTATTGTTTAAGGTTGACGGACACGCATGTCTGAATCAGTTGTTTTTTTTTTTTTGTTGTTTTTTTTTTTTTTACGAATTGGTCAAACCCAAACTCAAACAAAAACATTGTTTTCAATCGTTATGAGTCTCCCGATTGAATAGAATTTTATTATAAACAATTGTCTTGTAAATGGAATTTTTAAAGCATTGTGAATATTAAAATTAAGAAAAAAGTGTGTAAGAGAATAAGAAATACTACCTGCCAAAAAAAAAAGTGAAGTTTTGTTTTATCGGCTGAAAAATATAGGAAATCCGCTCCCATATTTAAAGGAACCCACACACAAAACAACCCGATGTGAGTTGTCCCCTTCCATTTTCACGATGTCTCTTAATCGTGTTTTCAAATTGATTTTGTGCAAAAACAATTACATTTTTCCCATTTTTGGCGCTGTTAGAACCACCACGAGGTAATTTTATGTAGTCCTGTGATGTTTTGTTGAAATTGGTTGAAAAATGTAGGAAATCCGATCCAATATATAAACGTTACAGACACACACACACACACACACACACACACACACACACACACACACACACACACACACACACACAATCTGCGTTTTATAATAAGTAAGATTATTGTGCGTCAATGATTTCGGTTTTTATTGAGGATTTACAGGACGTTAAGCCGGGCCGTGCTACTAACAAGGTATTCACGAAATGGTTAATTATTTTTGGTCGGGTTTTCTTTGTTTTTGTTAAGTATTCATTTGGGGATGTAATTAAATACTGTTTTATTTAACATTGAAGTCTTGAGTTGTACTTAATTATTAACGGCCACGGTACGTCCCAAAAGAACATCACCGTGAAACAACGATAGAAAGACATGAAGAAAGTACTCTTTAGGATTTTATCACTCATACTGACAGAGTAATGTAATTTTCAAACATAACTGGAATAAGACATAAACCATATTGTCGAATCATTCTTAGACATTTTCAAGCACTATATCTTTTATTTTATTTCTTTTTTTTGAAATCGTGATCCTCTGTAATTGTTGCAAAATATTGGAAGAGTTACGTCAATCTTTGTCAATAATAATACTTAGAGAAGAACGCGATTTAAGAAAAGAAAAAGTAACGAAATAACAGCGTTTAACACTTGTTTAACAATATTTCGACATAATCTCTGTCCTTCTTAAAGATGTGTTTCAAAATTGCGTACAAGGATAAAATATTTAAAAAAATATATAGAATTTTCTTTAAAAAAAAGCGATGTTTGCAAAAAGACTTATTTAATTTTTTATATTTGTATGTAATTTTTAAACATCTTGAAAACAGGAATACTGGCAGAATATTGTTAAACAATCGTTAATATTGATAAGCATTGTTAAACACAGTCTTTTCTTTTTCTTTTCTTTTTCATTTCTTAAATCCGATATTCTCTAAAGGTTGCAATAATAGTAGTAGTAGTAGTAGTAGTAGAAGAAAAAGTAGGAAGAGGAATGATAATAGTAGTAGTAGTAGAGAAAGAATATAGGGACAGTAGTAGTAGTAGTAGTAAGTAGGGAGATGAATAATAATTTTTATACTTGTATAAAACTTTTAAACAACTTGACGAAGACAGACATGCTGCCTCAATATCGTTAAACATTGTTAAATACTGTTTTTTTCTTTTTCTTTTCTTAAATCGTGCACGTCTCCAAGTGTTGTAATACTACTACTAAAACTACTACTACGACTAATAATAATAATAATAAGAAGAAGAAGAAGAAGAAGAAGAAGAAGAAGAAGGAGAAAAAGTC